TCGTAGTCGTGTTGGATAGTGGAGTTGTTGGGAAATAACTGTTATATATTCGGTCTTTCTGGCGTATTAAGGTCTATTTCATACAACGTCCACAATTCTTCGTTTGATATTTGGCTTAATGCTTATTAGTAACCTTAATTACTTAGGCAAATTGCTGAAGGATTTCTGGGGATAGGCTTTTCGGTTCCCTCCAGTCGCTTCCCAACAGCCTACTTTGTCGCTTACACAATACATTTTTTCAACTCCCCCTTGTCAGTTTTGAATTGAAATGCGACTTTCAAGAATCATCATAGGAAGAGGGAACTGACTGTTTTATAACCAAATTTTTCATTGACAATTTTAACGCCGTTTTTGATAAAAACATCATTTGACATTTCTAAAAACGTTTCATTTTCGATCTGCATTATCCACATGAAAGATTTTATTTTCCAGCATTTTTACCTCAGAATGCCAACGTTTATTTACAAACGCTCGTCATGTGAAATATTTAAAACGTGAGAGAGATGTATTCAAAGAAATTCATTTGTGCAATTTTCATTAACAAAAAACAACAAAGTTACGTTTAGCGTCAATGTTTTTTCAGTGAAATTAGCAATACGCGAGTAACATTACTAAAGGTTTTTTACAATTAAATGGAGTGGATTTTGAGAAAATATTTTTGAAAATGGCAAAGGGAGCTTCAAGTCGAGCCTGGTGGCGAAAGGGGAATATCCTTTGGAAGAACTCATATGAATAACCGAAACAATGCCCAATGTTTTATACTCTTATGGCTCTTCTCGCAACCAGCCCAGGAAAATGTATCGGTGACAATCACCTACCCTGGGCACTTTTTAATTATTTACTTTTACCGCAAAACAATTAAAATAAAATATTAACGCACGTAATAAAGATACTTGTGGGGTACTTGAGACACATAACCGCTGTGGTTCCTTCCTCTTGTACGGTAAAATATCACTGCATCGTCTTGTGGTAAGAAATTATATTTATTTTTTTTCGCGCAGGTCGATAATCTTTTTCCGTGTCCTTCTGACAACGTTACTTTTTTATATGCACAATACACAACTAAAAAGATTAGATCTTTATACGGCCGACAATAATGTCTGATCTTTAACGCCCGACAATTTGTCTGCTTAGTAAATGTTGTGGCTTTCCTCAAGGTGACGAGATAGAAGGAGAGGACACTGTCAACCATGCTTCTTCTTTACGACATTAAAGTTTTGGCATTGAAGCCTTCGATTGCATGACAGTAGTTCCACTCTTTCAGCTCGTGAGGATCTTCTGCTTACATTACTCTTGCCGAATCTGCTACACCAAGAGTACATCGTTGTTCCAGAATGGTGATATAATGGATAGATAATAAACATTGCACTGAATAATCAACGTTTCACAAGCTTCTAAAAGTTTAAAATTCAATTTCAGAAAAAATTGGGCCCCTTATTGAAAAAACAGAAACAATGGGGGGTACATACAAAATGCAAATCAATTACAGATGATTTTGCTAAATGTACACTATTAAAAAAAGTTCTAAACGTACAAATAATCTGCAATACTTTAATACAAAATATTTCGCTGAAGGAAAAATAAAACTGTGGGAACTCTAACATTAATTGCCTTAATCAAACATGTGGTTCTTTGTAAATAATTATATTTGTCAGATTTAAACGGCGTAGGTTATAATTCACTTTGTTACAACCCGGTAATCTGGGTCCGTGAAAGCAATTGTTTCAGTGCCCTTGAGGAGACCAACACTTTAAATCGGCACTATAGACGTAAAAAAACGATTTTTAAAAAATTTAAATTTACGAGCGTGCCAATTGCACGCAGAGGGCATGGCGAGCGACCCGACAGCGGCGGAATTGAAGTTGGGCGCCGGCAGCCGGCGCGCCCCGCGGGTGAGCCAATGCGGGCTGCGGCCGCCCGCGGCCAATGGGCGCGGCGGCTCGTGGCCGACGGTGGCGCGCTGGCGGCGGCCGCGGCGGCGGAGGCGGCGGGCGCGGAGGCCGCGCTGCGGGCATTGGCGGTGCCGCCACCAGAGCCGAAGGTCGAGTTGCCAGCCGCTCCCGCGCAGCCGCCGTCCGTCGCGTCAGAAGCCCTTCGTGCTCTGTCATGAAGAATTCTTAACGTGTCTGTCTTTTGTTAAAAGAGCGATGTTCACTAGAAGCATTCGTTTTCACCTTCACTGAATGAGATGGATTCAAAAAGTATATAACCTCAAGAGTTAAGGATGCTAAAATAATAAGTAATTTAACTGTGCCTGTTATTATATTTTCCAAGTTATTTAGTATAAATTGCATTCTGATGCATTGATAATAATACGCGAAGCAGTCTGGATTCTAAAACATGCACAGGGCAACCAGCGAAGGTGAATTGTCTTTTCTCTCACCTCGTTTCTCCAAATTTCCAAGACTAGTGAGTGCCCCATGCGATAAAAGCCAAAAACAAAAAAGTGTTTGATATCAAGGCCAATGTGTTTAAAGAGATCAATGCTGTTGGTGATGGTACCTAAGCTACTATCGCTTTCGTGTTTCAAAACATTTTCATTTTTTGTGTGGATTCTCCAGCGCGCCATAACACACCTACTGACTTATTACACACCTACCAAACTCCAGGACTTTCGCCTATATTAAGCTTGATGAAAATTTCATTTGGTTACACTTAACCATCCTGTCAAACAGTTCGCAATACATCAGGAATTCGTCATTGTGTTTAGCAATGAAGACTATAGGTTTGTATTCAGGCTGACGGAGATCACTTTCTTGTAATGCGTGCACACAGAGCTAAAAGTAGGAAGACTGATAATTGTATTTAACCATTTACTGACCTATATTTTTATGAACTTTCTCGTTTAATGAAGAATTTCTTCTTGACGTTTTACCGTTGAATTTGATTACATTCTGTGTTATGACAAGTAACATATTAACACAAATAAATGGGGGATATGGGGGAATATGATTAAGTCTATGAACAGCGAATTATATGACTACCTGTCTGATGGAATGAATTAATTATTCTCTTTCTCATACATTAACACTTAATATTTAATGAATTCTTAATTTATTAGTTCTGGCACTATAAGCAAGAATTAGGCGACGATAACATCAGCAGCACTAACAATATGATTCTACACGCAGCCTCTCTCTTCGTACAGACTGGAACGAGGATTCAACCGCATTCGTCATTATAGCACGAGATGCAGGCGATTTTTAGGAGATGCGCACTCGCTCATAAGAAATGACAAGCCGACAGATAGCCCGAGTCGTGAACCACGTGGCCGTAAGCGAAAGAAATGGAGGCTTTAAACGAATTGCTGCTCAAAAAATAATAAGACTAGTAGAAAAATAATAATTCCCTATTCCCAATATATAACGGAATTCGAGACCCAGTGCAAGACAGAAATACGGTGGCCTATTTAAACCAACATCTGAGCCATAAATCGCTCGTGGAAAATATGGCTTAATTTAGTTTACGTAGTATTGATAATTTTTTCTTGAACATAAAAATATATTTTCTTTAACCTCGACAACATTTAAAAACTGTATGGCCTACTACGCGCAGAAGTGCAATCTGTGCACGGTTTCTTGAGCTCTGAGTCTTCTACCCTAACTCAAATACATATGACGTTTAATTATGGATACAATTAGAAACGAGATTTTTGACAAGAATTAAAAATAAAATATTCGTTTCTCTGTGATAAACATTATTTGCAAAGGAAAATCAGCAACATATTTTGGTTGTTATCCTTTGTCACGTCATTCGCGAAGGAAACTGTGTTCACTGCCAAGTGAACATAGAGAACAATTATTTTAATAATTAAATTTCTCCTTGAGTTCGTGCACAGATAACGAAACTATATTTAAGTTAAGAAAACAAAGAGGGGGCCGTGAAAAAGGGTCGAAATGTGAGTCATTGACACAGAAGGTGAGATAAAATACTTGTGACAGACACACTTATTATTTTAGAATTGCACTATCCAAATGGTAACAAA